TTTAAAATACTCCTCTACACATTTAAGGCGATTCCTTCTCTCTCCCCACCATATCTCTCTGATTGGTACAGATCTCCATCCCATCCCGGTGCCTCAGATCCTCCTCTTCTCTTCTTCTTTTTGTTCCTTCCTCTCGTCTCGTTTCTGTGGGGGGCGGGGCTTTTAGCCGCTCTGCCCCTCGACTGTGGAGTTCCTTACCCCCTGACCTCAGAAGCATCAGTTCTTTCCCCCGTTTTAAGTCCACCCTCAAAACCCACCTGTTGAAGAACCAGAGCCGACTCTGTATAACTACTGCATGCTCTTAAACCTTTTATTATTATTCTGTTTATTTCCTGTTTTTATGCTTGTCTTATTTGTTCTGTGAAGTGTCCTTGAGTGTTTTGAATTATTATATTACATATTATGATGATGATGATGATGATGATGATGATGATGATGATGATTATTAATACTGTAGCTTATCGAGCTATGTGAAGCTTAAAGTCAGTTTTCTGAGTAACTCTCTGGCTGAAGCACAAATGAAGACCAGCAGCACAAACAGCGTGTCGCATTGGTGCTATAATTTACACTGCATCATTTAGTGATGCAGAAAATGTGAAAATGTTTTTATACTTGGTCCTAATCAGATGCTAATTTTATTTTACATTGACGGAGATGCCGCTGCCAAAACACATAATAATGTGCTGGGCTCAAAGAAAGCCTGGCTATGTTAACCCACATCACAAAAACCTGTTCAGTCACTAAGAGTCTTTTCACTTTGACCTGCTGACGAGCGAGACCGTGTCCTGCTGTGGGACTTAATGCTTGAATGTTCAAAGAAAGGAAAAGTGTCAGAGCTAACTAGAATTAGAATTAATTAGTATGTATTATTATTGCTCTGTGCACTGAATCAAACAATAACTGTTTTTCTGCAACATTCATTTCCACTCTCATTTACATTAGGAATCATTAATGTGCTCTCATGTTTGTTTTTAAATGCCTTCAGTCTTGCCCCACCTTACCTCTCTGAGCTTCTTCATCCCCACACACCCTGTCGGTCTCTCAGGTCAGCTGACCAGCTGCTCCTGGAGGTACCGAGATCCAGGAGGAAGCTCAGAGGGGGCGGGGCCTTCTCTATCGTGGCTCCAAAATTATGGAATAATTTGCCCATGCATGTTAGAGAGGCCCCTTCACTGTCCACTTTTAAATCACGTCTTAAAACCCACTTTTATTCCTTGGCTTTTAACCTCAGTGAGACTTAGTTTCTCTTTTAATTGAAGTAGTTATTTAATTAATGATTTCACTCTTCTTTTATTTGTTTTTTATTTATATCTTATGTAATTTTATTTTACAGTTCCAATGTACAGCACTTTGTGTCAGCTGTGGTTTTTTTAAAGTGCTTTATAAATAAAGTTGATGATGATGATGATGATTAACAGCTCAAATTTAATTAACGTGTAAAAGTAGGGTCACCGGGGGCTCGAACCTGTTACAGCCGAGAGGCGGGGAATGACCCCGGACGGGTCACGGGTCTGTCGCAGGGCTAACGCTGAATTGTCGGCACTATGCCATATTCCCTCCACTCCAGCTGCACGTGTTATTTATGTTTTTTATCATATTTTCTCATCTTTGCTTTGGTCTGACGGTCTGGGCTCACCATCGAAATTTAAGCATCTGAGATCCTCAAACAAACAAATGTTGAAGAGAACTGATAAAAAATCCTGCTCAGTGGCAACACTAACAAGGTTTGGAGAGTTTTCCTGTATTTATGGTTTTTTTATTAGTTGTCAAATATATAAACAGTCTGGCCCAGAGTGTCATTCTACATACAGAGATGGTAATAGTAGTAGAGTTGCTATGACGGCACTGCCCCCATTAACATTAAAATTAAGCAGCCTTGTATATCACTGTTCATTTGTTATCACTCAAATCACCGTTTCATTGTCATCGTGACTGCCCTGGTGTTTTTGGTTCAGACGGCCCACCATCGCTCAAAAAACGACAGATGGTGCCGTTAAATATGTGCACATATTTGTGCAAAGCAACGACAGAGCCGAGTAGCACATGCAAAAAGCAGAAATAGAACAAACATATCAATGCAGCCGCTTCAGGTGAAACTCTTCCTTCCTGGACCAGGACAAAGGTGAGCTGGATTATAGGATCCATGGAAGGAAAACCCGGATATTTTTATCCAGATTACACCTCTGGAACACTTTGGTCTGGGTTTCCATCAGTCAGTGCTCCTGATTAACAGGCTGACATTTGTGTTGCGTGTGATAAATCTGTTGTCCTGTTAATCAAACTATTATCCATTCATCATCTTCTCAGTGAGCTTAAGATCATCACAATATCTACACAAGACCGAGTGAGGTGAAAAGTACGAGCTGCTGTCACAGAGCTGCTAAACCTTAGCGTGCTAATGTGACACAACATCGTGAGCATTTCTCTTCTGGTGTTGGAGAATGATGCTATACGCTCTTGCAAAACAATTTCCAGTAATTGCCAAAGATGATGAAGAGATGTTACAGGAGGAAATAGCTTTCAGAGTGAAGAAGTGACAAAAAGAGAAAATGCTTTTGTAATGAGAGAAAAGCATTTTATGTTTTACTTTTGCAAGAATAGCAGAGATTCAGTCACAGGGATAAATTGCTGCCATTTAAATCTCTTTTCATCATTTCATGAAAATGGAGAAATAAACCATAAATCACCCTGTAATGTTTGAAAAACCAAACTCCCTCTGCAACTTCAGTGAAACTGCTGTAAACGCCTGTTTTCCTGCCAGGAAATGATACGACTGTCATCTTCTCTGTGTGAAAACAGTGAACACAAGAAAAAGAGAAGAGTGTGATGTTCACTCATGACATCGGTGGGATCCACGAGTCTTCCAACAAGCAGGATGAGCCCCGCGTCACAGATCGTGAGCATGAACGAGCTGCCAAAGGTTACTCATGGGGGGACAGAGAAGTCGAGCATGGTGTCAGGTCTCCCCCCTTCCTTTGCCTTAGTTTCTTCCACCTTCAGCGTGACCTCATGAGGTGTCTAAATGTAAGGACATGGAAAAGGAGCAGTTAGAGGACAGAGTGAAGAGAAGTGGATCTCTAAATGAGGTAAAGGAGACAAGGGAAAAGTAAAAATCCTTTGTTGTGTTTCAGTGTGTTTGGCAGCTTCATGGTATTCCATTATTTGGTTCTTTCTTAACCTCGAGGAGTGACCCCATCTTTCCCTCCAATATTCCAGAGAAGTTGGCTGAGTGGGTGGATGATACCCCAGCGCTCCTCAGGAGACTTTGTAAACTGAAGGATTTCCTGAGTTGAAACTTGGGGAAACGGATTTCTGCCTGCCTGTGGAAACAACAGTCAGTCTGTTAATGCGTTTGCTCTGAGAAGCCTTGTTACAACCTGACATTTCACTCACTGACAGTAATTATATCCGACTAGTAAACTACTCCACGTCGTTCATCGTGATACCTGACAACAGGAAGCAGTTGGACTGACACAGCTCCACAGACTGTGGATTCAGGAGTGAAAACGCTTATCAGTGAACATATATCACAACGGGGTCACACCTGGACTCACCTCTGCATAAATATGCATGTAACGTGGTTGTGGTGTTCACAGTGTTTTCACCTCACTGTTTCAGAGGTGCTCTAAGGATTATCCACAACGACACAACGCACAATCCCAGTTTGTGTACCACTTTAAGAAAAGTGATTGTTTTTAATTTGATGGCACCAACAAATCTGATAAAAGTTGGGCGAGATTAACAAAAGGCTGGAAAATAAGACGACTGGTTGTTAAAAGAGCATCTTTGAGGCAGAGGTTCACCAATCTGCAAACAAAAGAAACACATGTGTGTGAACACAGTTCCCCACTGCGTCCATGGTGGCAGGTTAAGGCTCTGTCATGCAAAGAAGAAGCCACGTGTGAACATTATGAAGAAGCAATGATGTCTTATCTGTGCCAAAGCTTATTTAAAACAGACTGAGACAAAATGGAAAACTGTTCTGTGGTCGGGCGAATCAAAATCTGAAATTCTTTTCCAGCAAACATGGACACCCCACTGTAACCCAGACACTCACCACCTGAAAATAACAACAGCTGCTCAGTTGCACAGCAGGAAAAATGTCCCGATCTCAACTTTTATGAGATGAGTTATTGCCATCAGGTTAACAATGAGATATTATCCTTTCTCAAAATTGTACATTTTCTCCATCTTAACATTTTATGTTTTCTAAATTCTATTGTGTATATGTTAATAAGTTAAATATAAGTTAATAAGATTCATAAAACTTTCCATTCTGCTTGATTTATATTTTACACAGCATTCAAACTTGGGTTATCAGGTAGGATTCTGTGTACAGGTACTGTTTCCTGTGTTTGGATGAACGAGTCCACATTTTTACATTTTTAGATTTAAAGCCTTTATTTTGCAAACTGTGTTGGAGGAAGTACTCTGATCCTTTAATTGAAAGTATATTAATATCAGAGTATGAAAATACTCTAATAATCTAATTACTTTTATTTTAATTCAAAAAAAATACCTAAATTATGAAACATAAAAGTGCTTACAGTATTGCATCAATATTCCTGAATCATTCTTTGGCTCTTTGCTCCGGTAGCTTGATAATATGTTGCTGCTTGGAACTGTTGTAAATAGTTTTTCATTTATGACATTACTGATTATGAATTTTGTAAAAAAAAAAAAAAACTAGTACCGGTACCGAAAAAAAGAATATTTATAAAATATTTTTTTAAAAAATTTTTATAAATAATATATACTATATATATATATATATATATATATATATATATATATATGAAATTTTATTTTTTGTATTTTTTTCTCTTTTATGTATATGTATATGTGTGTGTGTGTATGTGTATATGTATATGTGTGTGTGTGTATATGTATATATATATATATTTATATATATATATATATATATATATATATATATATATATATATATATAAATTATTAAATATATATATATATATATATAAAAATAAAATAAGCATGTTTTCATATTCAGAAAGATGGAGCCATGAAGTAAAAGTATCTTTGGGTAACAAACAGTCCTCCTACGCTGTGTTAACTTTGAATACTTTGAATCTCTGTATGAAGAAAGGATGCAAAATGACACAGATTCAGTCAAACATCTTGATGTGCTGCAGTAGGATATCATAAATCTGTGCCTAAAATACTACTTGGATATTTTAGATTCTGTATTCACTTCATCACTTAAATACACCATGCTGCATCCCCTTTAAGTAAAATATTTCAGCACTGTTGGGAGATGTTCCAACGGGGATGCAAAATGACTCAATCACAGCCCAATGTATCGCTGGTAGATTGACGTGCTGTGGTTTGAATTTTATTCTTGTTTAACCAGCTGCATTCCCAGCTGGTCCTCCAAGGGCCGCAGGTCTGCTTTGGGAAACCAGGAGCAGTGAGGTGGTTGCAGCATTCAGCCTGAAGGTCTGTGTGGGGCTTTTCAAATGGTTGAATACCTGATGTGTTTGTTATTGACGTGATCAACACATAATAACAAAGCTTCATTCCTATAAAGAAACACTTGGTTTATACTCTAACCACATCTTCATGGATAAAAACATGCAAGTATAATCTTTGAAGCATAAATACTTATAAGCTACCTTTGAAATACACATGATTGTTAATAGTTTGTCAGAGGGCTGCAGGTCTTTCCTCCAAGTCTCAGAGCTGACGGTGCAGACAGAGGACTCAGATTCATGAGAGCTGGAAAATAAATTTGTATGGTGTAGTGTAGCTCGTCCATCAACATGTAGGCTGCTACGCAATCTTAACTGACCCCCAGTTCTTTTTTTTGCACCATCATCTGCCTGAGGTCCAATTTGCCACTCCTGCTGTGGCACCACCAATCCCAGCATCTGTCCTGGCTCCAGCCCCAGTCGCCTTCTGAAGCCCACCTCCAATCCCTCCCTCCTGGAGATGAGGCTGCATTACAAATCTGTGAGAGCAGATATGGTGGCCTTCAGGCTGTGTTCTGTCTAGTCGGCCACCATCCCTGGGGCCTCCGGGGCCGGCTCTGGTTATCAGACCCAGAAGCTGGGCAAGCTGAGCCAGAGCTGACCCAGGCCCGAGGGTGAGAACAAGATGCTGCGCTGATGCTGCTGCTGGACGTCAGGCTCAGTAGCAGTTCTGCTGGCCGGGTCACGATACGGTTCAAAGGTCGAGGCCGTGTTTAGGGCTGATGTACCGAGCTGCTGCAGCTGATCGGCCTCTCTCTCCCTTCGCTCAAGAGTTTCAGGCCTCGGTACAGCTGATCTAAACGCCGAGGGACACGTTAGCAACACTAGCACTGTTATTTATATAAAACTACATACAGCAGGCATCGTTGCTGCTTCTCTTGCTATCCTGGCTTGACCGTACATAAGACCAACAAACCCCTTGCTTTGGGGGAGTGTTGTTCTCGTGGCTCGGTGTGGGGGTGGCGGTGTTGAAAGTATATCGATCTCCAGGGCTGAGCTTTCGACTCAGGGGTAATGCTCTAAGCAAACAACGGCAGTGTGTTTTTAAATTCTTAGAATTTGACCAGCAGTGAATGTTTGAGTATTTGGGGGCAGAGAGGACAGAGAATACTCACTCGACCCCCAACTTAATACACTTTCTCTTCAACGTGGATTTTGATGACTTACGTAACTAATGCATACTCCTGTGTCGCTCTGTTGTCACTGTGGTATTCCAACAAGCATTACCTAATAGTCCAAACTGCTTAAAATGACAACATCTATTCTATGTTGATGAGTGGATCACATGCACACACATCAAGCAGCTGGTTTATTGTTTGTATCAGATGGTCACAAAAATTATCCCGGAGAAAGCCTGTGGTAAAAATAAGCTTGAACTCAGGCAGCATCCGAGATGAAGACAATAAAGCGGTCCACAGTCTAAGCCATAAGTGACACAGTGAGAGTCTGTGAAATGCCAAAGTGCTCATTAAGTATTATCAGCTTAATCTTCACTTGTCAATACAGCTTCTAATTAAACAGCAGGTCACACGGGATCTTCAGCAGGCAACAGAATGCTGTATAGACAAATAAGAAGGTCGCTGCGATGCTGCAGTGCCACCGTGTGGTCGATTTTGTCAGGTGAATTTCAAAAAGGAGTAATTTTTCTAGGAAAATCAATTTTTGGACATGTGTTCAGCAAAAAAAAAAAAAAGCCCCCAAACCATTTCTGATAATAAGTGCGGTGCAAGACCGAGCAGCTGAAAGTCTGTGTAACAACGGGGATTACAGGATTTAGCTTTATCTGAAACTACGGCCCTGAGTCTTATCAGATTATTCTGTGGATCTGCTTAAATGGCGTCTTTAGGAAACTGTGTCACAGATGAAGAGTCGGTCCAGCCTTATGTGTCCCTGTTTGTCTCATTAGTGGCAACTGGGCTCATGAGCATGTCGGAATAAGAAGCTTGTGCTGCAGTGACTCAGAGGTTCATCTGACTGAGGATGAGGCAGCAGTACAGCAGGACCCACCAGACCAAGAGCATTTCCAGCTCTGACAGGGTCACTCCACAAGAGGCTGCTGAAGGCTGAAGAAGGGATCCTTCGTCACTGCTGGAGACAAACGAAGGAGTGTGAGGTGAAGGTTCTGCACTGAAGCAACCACATCGAAATCGGGAGTAGCAAAAACTACATTCAAATGCAGATATCTTTTTATAGTGTTTATCCAAACAGAAGCTTTAACGATATCATATCCATGTTAACTCTTTACCTTGTTTTCTACGGCTAGATTACAATAAATAGCATCCTGGGACCAGACGTTAAGTTAACTTTAAGCAGCCCTGTGACTTAATAGAAATCCTAAAACACGCTCGAAAGTGAAGCATGCTTTATATTTCATATATAAAAGCACTACTAACTCAAACTTCTCAGTGTGACGATACTGTTTAGCCAGGTAAGTGCTTTAGACATGAAGAGGGAGCCCCCCCTTCATCAGTAGGTGGCACTATTGAACTGAAAAACAGCCTCTATAGAAATACTCCTCTGGGCCATGATCACACTGTGACTGAGCGCTTTCCAAACCAGGCTGCTGTTTGCACAAAGACCCTTTGACAGTAATGCGACAGTATTTACTCGCTTTATGCTGCAATACAAGAGACACAGCAAGTGAACAGTAGCTGTAAAAGGAAACGATGCTCATCTGTGTGGAAGCCGCGTTGTTCCAGACATTTAACGAACTTGTCTCTGTTACCTGTGTTATTACTGAGTCACAGTAAACTGGAAGTCTTGGCAAATGTGGTGAATTATGTTTCTGCTGATAAATGGTTACCTGGGTGACCGAGGGGTTGACCTGCAGGCAGGAGGCCAGACACCTCCGAGTGGGCGTGTTCTGGGACTCTCCTCCCCATCGTGCTCTGTCGTTGTTGTCGTCATCTCCTCTCCAGCTGCTGATTTAACTTCATCAGTGTCTCTCATTTTTTCTTCTTTACACTTCCTGCCACTTTCTTCTTCTGTGTCACTTCTGACTTCACAGGCAGCCTCATCAGTTATTATTTTTCCATTTACTTCACCCTTAAAACTTTCTGAATTTGTACTTTTCTGGCTCTTCCCATCTTCTTTCATCACAGCAGCATCTTGGCCTTCATTCCCTACATCCTGTCCTCCCACCTGTCCATGTTTTTTGGAAAGCTCTGCATCTCTTCCGTCCTCGGTGTCTTCCTGCCAACGGGCCACTTCAACAGTTGCTTCCGCTGCATTGTCCTCTGTTTTGTCGACCCCATTCTTGAACATTTTTGCATTTTCCATCTTTTTCTCCCTTTCTTCCTCACAATAATCACCATCATCATTGCTCTGTCCTCTATTAGCCCGCTGCTCTTCATGCTCCTCTGTGCTTCTACTTTCACCCTCTGGCTTAAAGTCAAGCGCTGCTCCACCGTGTGTCATTTTGCTGAGATTTCTTTCATTTTTGTCAAAATCAAACTTCCTGTGCACCGCTGACTGGGCTGATTCAAGCTCAAAATCAGCCTTTTGTAAAAAGGAGCCTTCCTGATATTTGGATTCTTCTTTCATTTCCTCTGCTGTTTCCTCTTTGACCTTTGGTACTTGTCTTTTCAGCTGATTATATGGTTGAAACACATCTTTATTCAGCTCTAGGATGTAGCTATATGCATCCTCCTCATCTGAATCCAGCGATGGTAAGCTGTAGATTCCTTCCTCGGAGCTTAAAGAATAGCAGCTTTGTGCTCGTCGCTTGTCGTAGCCTTGATCCAGTCCACTGTCCAACCACAGCTGGACCTCCTGGCTGACTATGCCAGCATCCAGAGGACTGGGTGGCTGTAAAGTGCTTCGTGCACTGCCTTTCCTTTTTTTGTAATGTGAGTCTGAAGCAGTCCCAGCAGGCTGGTCGGAGGTAGCTGTTCCATTTGTGTGAAAGGACGGAGAGCGGGGACTTCCTGAAGATCTCTGAGACCAACGCTTCCACAGAAGCTGCTCGCTGCTCTTCTCCAAGCCTTTCAGCAACACCTGGACTTCTGGAACATCAGCGTCAGTCTCTTCAAAGCTGACTGACTCAAGTGATCCAAAACTGGGAATCTCGGGAACGTCAATATCTGGTGTGGGAGCCTGTAATATAAGCATGTCAGTGATAGCAGAACCAAAGAAATACTGCTAGCATGTAATAATGTCACACTATGAAGGTATTGGTAAGTGCTTATTTTGTCATTTATATCTCATTAATCCTTCTCAGTACGTCATTTATGAACAGATATGTTTATCCATCTGTTACTGTAACAACAGACGTTACACAGAAGTCTGTAATTGTTCTGAAAATCAATGTTTTTACGTAAAAATCCCCTCAAAAACTATTTTACTCATTTGTACAATGATGTCACTTATTGAAAAAAAACTATTACTAAACTACATTTTCTAAACAAAGACACCTTTAGATTCAGACGCTCTCTGCTTCACCTGTTCTGAGTCTCTGAGCTAAGATGACGGGCGGCCGGTGGCAGTTTCAAGAATAACTGAGTGATATAAATTTATTTCTTTATTTCTTTTTTTATATCTACCTCGCTGTAGTGAGACTGTAGTGAAGGTGAACCTGTGCAGCACTAACCTCATCTATGCCTGAGTGACACTTTGGGAACATGGAGACGTAGGTGATGATGGACTGCTCGTCTGGTGAAGTGCACGTCACATCTGCAGGGAACGATTAAAAAAATCAGAAAACACTTAAAACACAAGTGTGTGTGTGTGTGTGTGTGTGTGTGTGTGTGTGTGTGTGTGTGTGTGTGTGTAAAACAAAGCTAGGGGCTTGTAAGACCATTTAAATGGGCTGATTGGTGCGTTTCTACTCTCCTGTAGCCACATTCACACAATCACACAAGCACTGCCTTCTATGCTTTTAAGTGCTCACTAACATTCACACTGTGATGGATGCATCAGAGAGCAGCCAGCGGTGAGTATGTTGCCCAAGGATGCTTGGCATGCAGACAGTGGCAGCCAGGGACTGAACCACATAGACCCTTTACTGCTTGGAAACATGCTGTATATGTACCACGTGGGCCCTCAAAATAATAACTTGCATATCGTGTGGCCCTGTGGAGGTGAAGGTTCCTGGTTTAGGGGATGGTTGGTTGAGTCAGGTCTGGGTTTATTTGAAATTTATGTTAACTAAATATTGCAAGAGGTTTAAAATGTGATATTTGTGGCTTTCTCTAGAGACAATGTGAATCCACATGACTCTCATTTTATACATTTTTCATGTTCCTGAGTCAGGACGTTTTTCTGAACTCTTCAAATAAATAAATAAATAGGTCCGTGGTTGGTTCTGTAAGTAAACTGGTTCAATAACAGTCCTGACTCAGGGCCATGCTGTTGTATAAGCAGGGCCCTTCATTCATAAGCGTAACACTGTGTACGTCATCTTCTTGCTGCAAGAATGGGGGCGTGACAGTGGGAGCTGTGGGAGCTGTGGGGCTGTCCTGTGCTGTCTGACAGCTTCCTGTATCCTGTTGATTTTTGCGCACCAGCTTGTGCCTTTTCTCCGTCCACTATACGCTCACCTCAGAGAAACATTCAATCATTTCCATTTGTCTTGTCAGCCCCCTGGGCTTGAATTTCATATATGCATTTATAGAAGACTTGCTCTCATGTTTACAGTTTGCTGTAAACTGAAAGGAAATCTCTCATCACTCCAGGCACATAATCAACGTGGTGATTTTTTCACCTAATATGAGAAATCTTTTACCTTCAGGCTCCAGCAGTGGCGGTACATCCAAGCTGTGATGGGCTATCATGAAAGCCTGCCGGATGTTTTCCACTGGATCTCGATGAAAGCTTTCCCTCAGGTCAACCATGACTGGGTTTATGGACTTAACCAAAGCAAGAAATGCCAAGCCGCTCCTCCAGCTCTTCCCAAAGTCCTTCACGTCCACCCCGTACCTGCAAAAAGTTTAAAATGCCATTTAATTAAATGACAAGTGTGAGCCATCGTTCCAGCTCAATCTAAAACTATTCTGATTTCTCACAAGAAAGCTAATTTGGGGCTGATGTAGGGTTAGGATAAGTTTACCACCTATTAGAGCTCAGAGGATAAAGTAACCTGCTGACATTTTGTTTCATTGTTTGAGTGGGAATATGTTTGGGCTCAGTGTTAATTACATGACTTTGTAAGTGTTTTGATCTTTTTTGCTCACTTTGATGTGCATCTTTGGACCCATTGCAGGAGCACCTTGATTGCTTTCCCATGATACTTTGCTTCCCTGCCAGCCTTCCTGCCTTTACTTGGCAGAGTGCTGCAAGAGTATGTGCCAGGGTCACTTGGCTGGGGTGAGAGGTCATTAGAGGATGGATAACTGCTCATTGACAAGGCGGAAAGGCTGGAAGACAAATGCTTCTGGAGGCCTCCCATCACCTCCTTTACCTGTGTAGGAGTAACACAGAGGTGTGAGTCGGTGATAAATGGCTGGGCAAGAAGTAAGATAATACATTAAGACATTTGACTCATAGATAGGGATGGGTACCGGTATCCGGTGCCATGACGGCACCGGTTCTGACATAAACGGTAGTAACCAGACCGAAAAGCAGCGCACATTTCGGTGCTTTTTTTTCCTGAGCTGTGATACACTTTGGATTCTAGCCAATCATTTTACGTTTCCGAGGATAGTAGGCGGGCCAGGTACGTACGTTCTTTTAGAGCAGAGCTACAGATTAAAAATGCCCAAGGCGAAGCGGTCAAAGTCTGGCTGTACTTCACAGCAAAAGATGCAAACTCAGCAGCAACAAGTGCTTTAAGCTGATACTGTGATACTGTCAAAGGAGGTAACACCTCGAATCTGATGAAACACCTGGCGACGCATAGCGTTTTTAAAAGCCGAGAAATGCGCCGTATTTGATAGCTTGCTGCGAGACCTCACACCGAGCACATCTACTGCGGGTGTGGTGCCTGTTATCGGACCCGGAGTTAGCAACATCCCCCAAAACCCGAAGAGGAGAGTCCTGGCCCCTAGCCCTGCCAGTGTAGCAGAAATGATGAGGATGATGATGCAGCAGCAGCCGTTCTTCTCTGCGTGAGTAGCTTAATGTTGTTCGTGTGTAATTTACGTTGAGTAGGCTAACCACGTTATTACATTAATGCATGTAAGGTGAACTAGCAAACATCATCATAGCTACATGCGGCTGTCTTCTTGTTTGATGGCAGATACTCCCTTCACCCTGGCCAAAAAGGCTAAAATGACCAAAGAAAAAGTGGAAAACAGTTAAACATGAGAGGTTTTTGGACAAAGTTTGTGTTTTTCCATTGTTTAAGCACCGGCACCGATTTCAAAAGTACCGGTATCGGATAAAACCTAAACGATACCCATCCCTACTCATAGATGATAAATCCAACCTGAAAGTGCAAGATGATGCTCCAAACAAGGTGAAGAACAACAGATGGTTTACCATCAGCAATTCCAGAAGCATCAATGCCAAGCAGCTTTACCTGGCAGATAACAAGGAAACATCGATCACAATCTTGTTATTCCTGATTTGAAATCATGTCATTCATACATGTCACAGCAATGTCACTGAATCTACAAGGAAACACTCACATGTCTGTCATCCAGAAAGACCAAGGCCTTGGAAATGTTGTTAAGTCTGAAGATGCGATGAGAGGAAGACCTAAACCTATAAAGCTAACAAAGTTAGACGAGAAAAAACATAATCACTGTTCAGGGAAATGAGCTGGTTGATTTTATTGCTGTTAAGAAGACTGGTCCCATTTATATAGCAACCCTGAACAATGACGTTACAACCAACAGCTCAGCATGAAGACAGTAAACTGGGAGACACTGCTGGCTTGGCTTCGACTAAGCGTTAGGCTTGAGACTAATTAAACAAAAAAAGGAAATGACATCAGCAGTAATTAAAACATTTCCTGTCTCTGGCCATGACAGCAAACTCTTTTTCACAGGAACTGTGCTCCCAGCGTCTCCTGGTGAGTCTCTGCTTCCAGGACTCCTGCTACGCTTGCAGTGGCCAAATTTAAACAGGCTTTGGCTAAATCTTTCTTGAACAGCATGATTCTTACTAGTCTGCACCCAGACAGCTCCTCCAGCAGGCCCATGAGTATTTTGCCATCCTGAATGTCTGTGAACAGGTCGTGCACTTCAATAGGAGGGTCCCGCTGGGGGGGAAAAGCATGACCCTCATTGATAACCACATTTTTTTCAGAGTGATCTGATGAACTGATTTGTGCCTTACTCTCTGCAGAAACACATTCATCCACCTGGTGAAGGTTCTCTTCTGCACTGCTTTTCGTTCATCTGAGGAAGAGAAAACAGGGCCTTGGTACACCAATATTTAAATAAAACATGAAAATGGCATCAGCAGTGATCAGCATAACGTTAATGGAACGCAGTGTAATGGGAAATCGTTGGTGCTTTATTCGTATGGTTGTTATTGTGACAAATATTAGTAAATCGATTAGCTTTTAGCACTCACTAGCCACCCTAAACATTGCAGTGGACTAAGTAACCTGTGCACACCCACAGCACTCTGGCAGGAGCGAGACACTGTGCCCCACTGGCCACAGAAGAAAGAATAATAGCCCCAGGCACTGACCTAGCCTCCCAAACATGATCCCAATCAGTATCCACAGGAGGCACCAGAATTATTCTGATCCACGAGGCCCCACCCTGCAAGCACAAGGACGCAAAAGATCCACGTCCAATGCCCTGGTGCTTTTAACTGCAGAACAACAAGTGACCTGTGTCTATGTCACGGCACGTCAGAGCGGGATAGAGATTGGTAGGATATGAGGCAGCTGGTTTTTAAAGTTGTGTCACTGTTAATCTAAGAAGAATGCAGAATATTGAGGTATTTAGTAATTAAATGTCCATACTCTATTTTATAGATAGACAGTTTACATGAAACCCAACTGAACAGTGCTGGAGAAGGAACATTTCTATAATAATTAAAAATTTGATACTAAAACACTAAATGATTGGGCAATCGAATGACACGAAGCCAAGAATACCTACCTGGAAAATTCCCTAAGAATGCAGTCAAGGAAGCAGGAGAGCAATGATGGTCCTTTTTGTATTCTTTTCAAAGGTGGCCTGTATACACAGTTATTTAAGTAAAACCCACCAGGATGGGACTGTACCTTCAGATGTGTATTTATCATTGAGCTCGCTCGCTGAGTTTGTCTGTGAATCCCAGCTGTCCTGCATTCTCGTTTAGACTCTTGGCACATGATCCATTATGGAGATAAAAAGTGAGAATAAGTCAAAATGTCAGCAATCAGAGGCACTCCACAGTTTCCTTAAACACTAATGTTGAAGTAAAGGCAAAAGAGAGGCGGTGTATCTTGCCCCAACACGCTGAAACCTCCCTCTGACGCGTTCTCCCACCACTCCCACAAGCACAGCGTGAACCCGACTGCAAGTCTGTGGTTTATGAAATCCTGTATGTAGTGGTGGTCACTCCATGTCCAGGGGTCTGTTTGCATGTAAGAACTCGCTGTGGTTTCTGTTTTCACGTATAAGGATGTCGTTCAGAAGATCTCATGGGTGAATGATTCATTAAAGTAAACACACATATTTCTTCATAGCTCACCTGGCTCAGGGTAAAGGTACGAGCAGAGGAAGCCAAGGTTCCTGTGATGTATTAATCAGTCAAAGAAAGAAAAACAGAAAATTACAAATCTTTTTAGAGAGATTTGACAAAGTGTTTGTCAAGTTTGATAGCACTGGAATTTACCTCTAATATTTCCTGCAGCAATGTATTTTATCTTTCTTTTATCTTGCAAAATTACTACATTCCAGAAACAGGTCGAGTCTCACAGGAAACATTCATTTCCAAAAATCCAAAACTAAGACAGAAACAATTAAAAATGAAGCTAAAAAATATTTATCACAAAAATACAAAACTATAATAACTTTGTTCAACAAGCAGTTAATTCTTTATAATCAAAAAATTGATCCGTTTTCTGGGACACCCTGGTGTTGTCTTTCACAGTGAAGATGATGTAAATATTGTGAATATTGTTATTTGCATTTCATCTAAATATTGTAGCTGTTTCCTCGTGGGTACAACATGACGTGTTCTTTGTGCCCTCCACTGATTCCACTTTTTAATCATAGAAATAATTTAGTTTTGGTTTGTTTAAGCTTTGTGGTTAAACAAGTCCCACCCAGTAAAGTAACTGTGTTGATCCGTCCACAGACCTGACATCACACAGCATGTCTGACACAGTTGAGTCGCAGGTCTTTATACTCTCCTCTACAGGTGTGTCTGCAGGAGGGTTATGGGCTGAGGTCAGTAGTAATAA